ACTCTCTCTCTCTCTCTCTCTCTCTCTCTCTCTCTCTCACTCTCTTGATATGATTTTTCGCAATTGGAGCAACTCAAGACAATCTATACGTGTTTCCATAATTTCAATCCGGAAGTACACGTTCCGGAAAATTGCTCTTCAAAATTGCGACTCACGAGGTACAGCTTCGTGGATGTTGTAATGATTGCAAGAGACGCGAATATGGAAATGTCGATGTGTTCACTAGAGTGCGAACGTTACAACGTCGGTATAGTTTCTCATTCACATGCGTTACCCTGAGAATAACTTCGTTATCGCAGGCACGCTGCGTGATTTACGACTGTCGCACGAGAATTATTGCCATTATTACCGCTCTTCCCGCGTCGCTAAAGATTAGAGCGAGACGCGATCGATGACACTTTATATCCTCCCGCGCACGCCACGCGCATTATCGCGCGGAAATGACGGCCGCACGAGGCATCGGTGAGGCACACAGAGTGGCGAGCGAGAACGTCTCCGGGACCAGCAGGTGAAGACACGGTCGACGTCGACCGAGCAATATCCAGGCCAGTCGCAGGATGTCCGAATTAGGTATCTGCGTCATCAGCCCCGGCAATTGTTCCGCTTTTTGCCCATCATCGTCCATCTCGTCGGCGCTCTCATCGCCCGCTTTCCGCGGAATCGAGCGCAGAAGCACGCTTCTGCAGACGGATCCCCGTCTCTCTGGCCTTTTGAAAACTCGCTCGCGCATTCTGGATCGCATTCGCGAGAACAGCGTGCGAATCGCGTAGAATTCGTAGAAAAACGATCAGACGGAGATGTTGGCGATATTAACCTTGTATGCGTGTTATTTTACTACGCAGCCATTTTACTACGAAATATATAGTTGAGATTAAAAATAGCTATAATTTTTTAATTAGATGAATTTTTTCTCTTAGCGTACAATCCGGATTTCCGCAAGTTTCACCTTTAATAGATAAGAGAATGAATGGTTCTCGCCTTTTGCGATATATCTATTTCATTACTTTTCAGTAAATTGACAAAGTCTAAAAGCGCGGCCGCGTTAAGTTCTCGTCTCACTTCCTCGACTCGCTTTAACTGTGAAAGCCAGACTCAATTCTTCGTGAAACCGAGTTTTCTAGTTTTTAGAATTTAATATTTTCCTTTGAAGTCTTTGAAGTTTTCAAGGGAAGGAGGTATTATGAAATCGAATTCAGAGGTTTGCGGGCTCTGTAATTACAATTTCCAAGTTTACTGCGTAATATTGCGCATCACACGAAAAAATGACACTACTAAAAAATCGTGATTTTTCAATACAGTAAAATAAGCGATAAGATCTCAATCGAGTCGATTATAGATTGCATAGATGGCTAGAACGATACTTCTTTCGTTTTAGTAAACCAATAAATATAAAGCATCTTCAATCAGCTCTTAGAAATGAAAAATGACTGTTCCACTGCTGGTTTTATATCATACATAAAATCTTGTTAAACAGAAAGAAGGAAAAAACAAAAAATTGTTCCTTAAATATTGGAAATGCAAATGTATCATTTTTTCTTGTTATAAAGTCTAATCTTTTTTTAGGATTCTAGTCTCTTTTTTTAGGATAATTCGCAGTCGCAAATTTTTTCAATTTCTTTCGTGTGACATACGATATGTGATAATTGATCTAAATTTTTTTAGACCAGTGAAGAACTTGCAGAATTTTTAGCAGTTTTTGAGAATTTTTAATCTATTAAGAGTGAAAGTTTTGCGCAAAATCTGAATTATATCCTGAGAGAAAAAAATGGTTAATCTAATCGAAATTATAGTTATTTTTTACTCCAACTATATATATTTTGTAGTAAAATAGTAATATATGCACATAATATCACTAACATTATAGTAGAATTTAATAAAGATATTATTTTCTTGACTACAATTTATAATAATTATTTCTTTGTGTGATTATAGTCACGAATACCAAACGTTTTCTTCTCAATGTAGAAGCACATTCGTTGCTTCGTAATTTTTTCACATCAAACACAATCATTTCTACATTCTGTGTTAAGTGCATTCACCCCGCTCCTCCTCACTTTATGCGATTTAAAGTCTCCCAAGTAGACACAAAGCATTTCTCCGGCCTACCTGGAGTGGTTGCCATCGCGGAGTGAATCGAAGGAGACTCCATGAAATCCGTACCACGCGTTATCCATACGAGTTTTGTTTTTTTTTTTCGCCAACCTACCAATCCGAGCACACGCGGGCCGAAGATTTAGGGTCGAGCTGCCAGTGAGCTTTTTTTCCGTGCACATGCAACTCGATGGAAAAATAAATAGCGCTTCCCCTTGGGCGGCTGTAGCGCGATAAGACAGATGGTTAAAACCGCCTGGAAGTAAAGGGGACATAGGGGAGAAAAAGAGTCAGGGAGAAGAAGTAGGAGCCTAACGGCCCGAAAAAAAATCGAGAGAGAGAAAGAAAGAAAGATAGATCGACAACACGTGCAACCGACTCGCCGCCGTCGTTGTCGTTGCATTCGATGCCACTGCTCGCACGCTCTCTCGTTTATGGGACACATGTGTAGGCCTGAAAAATCTCTCTCTGAAATTCTACAATGTATCTAATCGCGCAAATGTTTCGTGGATTATTGTGGAAGTTACAGATCATTTAGAGTGTTCACAGTCGTCTACAGGCGTCTCACTGAAAGAATCTCGGTGTTATACACTGAGAGAAAAGATATCTAGAAAATAAAAAATATTTATTCGAGATGGGTACTATGTTTATATACTTATAAAAATTAATATAAAATATTTTCCCAACACGAGGAAATATGGATCTTCTTAAAACCTTAATTTTTCATGAAAGCAATTGTTTATTTTACTTAAATAAAAGAAATTAGATTTTCAGTTTTAAAAATGATAGTTTTTTTACTTATCAGAGATATTTTTTTCACTTTTCAGTGTGCGTAAGGATGAAAAAATTATTTTATGTTTAATATCTTGATATTATAATTATATCGCGCCGATTTTTTTATAGTGATTGTATAAATTTTAAAAGAATTAGTTTTCTCTCTTTCTCTCTCTCCCCTTTTTATCTCTTCCGAATTATATCACGCTGCTATATTGCGTCGGTGGCATAAGACAGATAATCGTAAAGTAACATGCCCGACAAAAACCGAAGATCTTAATCGTCCCAATATAAAAAGCGATAATAACCCTCGACAGAGGGAAAGAGGGGAGAGGGAAAGGCGACGAGGAAGCGGCCGAACGATCTCATAGCGCAGGCGGAACTAGTCTCGGGAATCGCTTGCTCAATTAATACGCTACTGTCGGTCGCGGTCGATTAATGAGATTAATTAGACTGAGCGGTTCCAGCCGGTCGTCATCGTCGTCGGACGCGTTCGAGGTAAAGCGCTGTTCTGATCCGCAATATATCCACTTTCAGAGGAAGAGCAAGTACCAGGAGGCGAAGCTGAAAGCGCTCAAGGCGAGAAACGAGTACATCCTGTGCCTGGAGGCGTCGAACACGACGATACACAAGTACTTCGTCGACGACCTGTCCGATCTCATCGACGTAAGTTACCAACACGCGCGCACCCCATTGACCCCGCGAGACCTCGTCTCGACGCCACCAGCCGCGCTTTCTCTCCGGGCACCGTAATTGTCGTTGCACTTGTTCGTCGCGCTGCAACGTCGCGCGAACGAGAATCTACCGAATCGGCGGAGATCTCATTTCCACGGCGGCGGAGATTCCGTATGCGATCGTGACACATCGGCAGTCGCGTTGATTACCATCGACTGTGGAAAAATTTAATCAACACTCGGATTGTAAAAGGCGCGGTTGCAAGAGATGCAACTTTGCAATGCATGTGGTTTTTACCTCGTTTCGTTATCGCCTTCTATCTGACTTCTCAATAAAAATTCCTTCGTTCGACTCGTTTCGTATCAATTATCGTAATGATCCGAATACGAAGTGAAGAGTTTGTTATCGTTTTTTCTCGTCTAAATCACGCGGTAAAGACGCTGAGAAGATGCCTCTTTGGCGGCGATTAACGCGACGAAACGCGATGTTCGACGTTTATGCGAGGATAGACATCATATGGAAAATGACGTGGGCGCGCCTGTGTGCTCCTTGTGCAGTGCATGGACTTTGGATTTCACAACTGCATAGCAAGGGCACTGCTGATGCACTGCAGTGCGGAGGAGGGCCGGCAGCGGTCCCTGCAATCTGGCGCCGAACAATTAGCCGCGTGCGTCGGTGCGCTCGACTCCAGGGCGGATAAGCAGAGATTCCTGGAGTCTCATCACGCCGCTTTCATGATTCCCAAGAAGTTCGAGTTCCAAGGACAACGCGGGGATGAGGTACGGCGGAGATGAGGGCGAATTTAGGCTGGCGGAAGCCGAGGAGAGAGAAGGGATACCGTGAACCCTCCCTGGCTTTATTAAATTCTTTGATGAGAGAGCCTCTTCATCGTATTTTCGTCAAATAATATAATTTGACTTATAATAAATGTCGTTTTGACGAGTCAATGGATCCCCAGTCAATTTCTGAGGAACGTAGAAATCGAACAGTACGTGTGTGACGAAATTCACACTTATCAGGGGCTTGTTAAATTATTTTATTGTTTCAAAAAATGAATCTCACATTTTACACTGAAAGAAAAAAATTATTGATCTAACTAAAATTGTAGTTATTTTTGGCTTACCATATTTTTTGTCTGTTCTAACAATGGTACAAAAAAACAACAATGGAACAAAAAAATGGTAGTAGTAATATGCATATAAGCCTATTATCACTAATATTATAGTAGAATTAATAGAAAGAAAATAATTTTCTTCACCATAATTCATAATAATTATTTCTCTGTGTGATTATCATATACTGACAAATACCAAACATTTTTTCTCAATATAAAAACATTCATTGATTTTCATTGAACATATTCAATGCGCTTTATTCTATATCTCGTTTTGCAGTGAAGATTCTCAATGCAATAAATATTAATTAACACAATGATCACGTAGAATAGACTCGTGATCTACCAATCATGAGGGTCGCCCGTTCGACTTTGAAGACAACTACAAAGATCACCTAACTTGTTAATGAGAAAAATATATACGGCTAGAAATCCAAACTTCCAATATTTATCTACAATAATTCAAATGTGCTACAACGAATATATTTCGATAAGAATATATTTCAAGAACTGCGGACCACATTCCGCGGTTTGTTGGATCTGCTTCTCGAGATAACCGCGGAGCCATGACCGCTGCTAAATACGCCGCGCTTGCTTCCGACAGACACCCGAGCCCGAATTGCAAAAGATGCTGCATTCGGAGATGGAGCAACGGCTGGCGCAGCTGCAGCAGAGGGTGACGTCGTTGCGCACCGAGTCGGAGGAAGTGTGGAAGACGCTGGAGACCGCGGAGGCGAGTCTGCTCGAGATGCTGACCGCCAAGGATTACGATTGCTCGCGATATTTCGGCGAGAACGCCGTGCCTACGTCCAGGCCGCCGGAGACGCTGCAGATCAAGCTGCGGGCCGACAGGCAGGAGACCGAAGAATTCTACCTCATAGTGAGTAAACGGGGGGATTCTATCTCGGCGACGGTGAGCGAAAGACGCGGCCATGCGGTAGAATATTGATCGTCGCATTAGCATTCGAAGGATAGTGGAAGCGCGAGGAAGGGACAGGTAGGGAATAGCCGAGGAAACGCGACGCTGCTCGGTACTTGGACGCCTCTCACACTCTCTTTCTCTCTATATTATTTTTCCTGAAATAAAACGCCTCTTGCGTTAAGATCCTTGGAAAGTGACTCCTCGATAAAAACGCTGAGATAAAACGCGCGCACGCGGTTGCCGCGCAGTTGAGTTATTCTTTCGAGCTTGTATTTAAACTAAAACGCAGTGCAGAATCACATTGGAACTTTATCTCATGTGTTATCTTGTAAGACGATGTTTGGAGCTGAATTTTGTAATTCAGTTTCCTTCACGCGATGTTCATTCGATTGTATTCAACTATAGTTTGTGGAACAACATCTGCGCAACCCTCAGAATTAATCCTCTCTGTCGCGTCTCTGCATAAACTTGAAATCCCCCGCGTTCACGATCCGTCCGTCCGTTCACGCATTCGTCGCTCGCGTGTTCGCAGAAATTCAGGGAATATCTTCTCGGCACGTCGAGGATAGCCAGGCTAGACGCGAAACAGGAATATATCCGGCAGAGTCTGCTGGACGGCTCGAACGCCAGTCCGAACCCGTCCATCTCCGCCACGAAGCAGAAGCAGGCGCGCCGGAAGCGAATCGGCCGACTGCAGATGAACGGTCAGCCGAAGCTGTTCGGCGGCTCGCTCGAGGAGTACCTGGAGAGCACTAACCAGGAGATACCGTTGATCATGAAGAGCTGCATCCGCGTGATTAATCTGTACGGCCTGCACCACCAGGGCATATTCCGCGTGTCCGGCTCTCAAGTGGAGATCAACAACTTCCGCGAGTGGTTCGAGAGAGGTGAGGACCCTCTGGCGGACGTGACCGACGCCTCGGACATCAACAGCGTCGCGGGGGTGTTGAAGTTGTATCTGAGGGAGCTGCGTGAGCCGCTCTTCCCCATCATCTACTTCGAGCACCTCATGGAACTGGCACAGTTGGAGTCGAAGCAGGACTTCGTCAACAAGATGAAGGAGATGATAGCGAGCCTGCCGAGGCCGGTTGTGATCGTCATGCGTTATCTCTTCGCTTTCCTGAATCAGTGAGTATCCAACCGTCCGTGTGCGCGAACGTGCGTGCGCGACGTGTGAGATTACCGCTCCGGATCTGCATAAATCCCGGACCCTATTGTCCTGTTGCGCAGTCTGTCGGAATTCTCGGACGAGAACATGATGGATCCATACAATTTGGCTATCTGCTTCGGCCCAACCCTGGTGCCCGTTCCCGAGGATAAGGATCAGGTTCAATACCAGAATCAAGTGAACGAGCTGATCAAGAATATCATCACGTTCTGCGAAGAGATCTTCCCGGAGGACATCGGCGGCACACAGTACGAGAAGTACATCAGCAGAGAGCCAGACGATGTGTGAGTAGAAAATTATCTCACTGCATTTTTATCGCCGCGAATATTACGCGAGATCGCCGCGCTTCGAGACGAGGAGAACGTACAAAGAACGTCGTAAGGACATCTAAGAGACGTCGCGATCGTTCTTCATCACGCGTCTTTTAAACGTTGAGTGGACTTTCACGTTGTTTGGGTTATCGTAACGAGGTATATTTACGCGTGATTTAGGGACGTGGGAGACTCGCCGACGGACCAAGTTCAAGAAGACATGGATTCGGAAGTCTACCCGTCCGAAGACGGTAATACACCTCGAATTTACTTGACCGTGCTGACGCGAGATGAGAAGTGTCTCCACGAAGCGTATTCTATCTGTTTTGTCCGTTAGAATCGGAGAATCTCGAGGCCACTGCGCAATTCGACTTCAACGCGAGATCCGAGAGAGAGCTGAGCTTCAAGAAGGGCGACACCCTGACGCTATTCACGCAAGTCAGCAACGACTGGTGGCGAGGCGCTCTAGCTGGCAGGGAGGGACTGATTCCTGACAAATATATTATGCTCAAGATCAAGTGAGTGCGATTAGTCAAATATCACTTGATTTTGAAAATTGAAGTGATAGACTTGTTCGTACAACTGAAAGAATTGCATTTTATTATATTAATTTCAAAAATTACATTTCGTTACAGTCCCCATTTTCGAATTGTTTCATCGTCGTTATAATTAAATCGTTCATCACATTAAATTATCGTTTGATGTAAATTCGATTATTGTAATTTTCTACCGCGAGTTGTTTCAACTCATTACTCGTTACTCTCGGATCATTAAACTCGAAATTTAGCACATTAATTTCCTGCCGTTTCGACGGCGTTTCTCTACGTTGCGCATCAGGGATGAGGAGCGTGAGAAGGAACTCTTGAAATCGTCCAGCGAGGAGTCCATGCGTAGGAGAGCGTCCAGCTCGGCGGACAGCGTTCTATCGAGCAACAATTCGCCGCTGATGGGCCCGTCGGCTAATCCCAGCACCTGGTCGTCCGGCGCCGCGTCCGATATGTCGTCCGCCACGACGAACATAATAACGGACAATAGTAACGCCAGCGGTATTATCGCGTCTGTGGTGACGAATGTGCCCTGCATCTCATCGGCGCAGCCGATCATCAGTCGAGAGGTATTGGAAACCACCGTTTAGTTACTGACATTAATCTCCCGATCTGTCTCCTCCTCGTATTGTTGTTCGTGTCTTTGTGCTTGTTGTTGTTGTTGTCAATACTGTCGCATTGTACGCGACGCACCGCACCGCACCGCACCGCGAGCAGCAGCAGGTTTTGCCGTCTCTCGTTATTCCTCTACTTCAGGCGCACTCAGGTGCATGGCTGTCAAGAGTTGCATCTTCTTTTATTTTCGTATTCTCTCATTACGTAGTAACGAGTTCACGTCCGGAATGCACAATGTAGATTGGCAACACGAACATTTCTCTCTTTCTCTCTCTCTCTCTCTCTCTCTCTCTCACACACGTCTACCATTCCTTCTCTCTTTCATTTTCTCGTCTGTGCTGCACCGCACCTGTACATCAGACCACGCATCGCTTCGTCGTCTAGTTTAGAACGATCGATCGCGAAGAAGCGTTTCCTTCGCGTTCCTCAAAATAATGGAAATTCTTCCGGCGAGAAGTCGGTGCCTGGATTAAGAACTCAGGTAATTCACGACACGGCGAGTTCCGCCGGCGAGAAATTTCTCAGCCGAGGAGAGAGATAAAAAGATTTCGGATAAATAATTCACTGATTTTCCCGACCCCCGGTACGTCGAGTTGTTCGCGAAACCCGGCCGGGCCATTAATCATTTAGCGTACAACGCGCAAATCGATATCGCTGATATCCCACCGCGTCGTGATTCGCCGAGTGCGGAGGTATTTGGAGTGTCGGGAGAAATTTCGCGAGCGACGTATTGCGGTATAACGCGCGAGACGCGCGATTACGATGTCGCGCCCGGGGGAGACGATGACGCGATGAAGAGCACGTCGCACATTGAGAGAGAGAGGAAAACGCTACTTTAAGTTAACTTATCCGGTAAACACAGCAGTACTCTAGTACTTTGTAGGTACTTTATACATTTGTACGATACGATTTGTAAATAAAATAGAAATATACAAGTTCATGTTGTGCTGCATGTCGCCTTGGTTCTTGTCTTGTGTCGCCTGTGTCCTGCGCACCATCACCGTTTTACTGTATATGTGCGTGTGTGTGTGAGTGTTTGTGCGTTTGTATATTTTATATTCTCCTTTATACATACATGTTTTTTTTCGTTTCTTCTTTTTCGTTAACGAATGTCGATGTTTTAATGGTTGGGATGGTTGCTGTTTTTCCAGATATACGTTTAGTCTCTTGGCGCCTTTAGTTGGCGAGCAAACTAAGCCGTTTCGCGCCGCACACATGCGTAGAGATTTATTACGCGGACTAAAAACTGTTCGATAAAACTGGCCGCAGTGTTCATTGCGCGATCAATTCTCTGTCATTGTTGTTATTATGTTGCTGTTTTGCATTGTTGGTATTTTGTTGCTGTTGTTGTTGTTGTGTGTCCGTTGATCGCGGGACTTGGAGCTCGATCTCGGCGGGAGAAATGTGTTCGCGGTTCTCTCTCATTCTCTTTTTTTTTTCCTGTCGATTCTGCGTGTCTTAGAATTTCTCCGTAGAGCGAACCTCTTCGGTCTGTTAGTCTGAGACCAAAAAAGGAATGCCGCCTCGCGGGGGGCCTGCTTATCTCCAGCGGATATCCTTTCGGCTTCGAGGTGAGTAAAGAGAGCAATCTCACCCACTGCAAATAGCCCAGTCTATTTTATTAACCCGCCCCAGACTACAATCTTCCTCCCCGGACATTGGATAAAGAGAGATAGGTGAACTAATATCCATCGTTATTTGCGCCGGTACGTTTTGCCCGCTTGTATTCGTCGCAGTTTTACGAGCAGTTTTTAATCCTGTCTCCTTAATGGTTACTGCCTCATGTGTGTGTACTTTTTTATCCGTCCCCTTTGTTACTTTTGCGTATCTATTTGCATGCGAACGACCCGAGTAAGCGTCGTGCCTAGTGCCTCCGTAAACACTACTCCGGAGATCTCCGTGAGATCTCCGTAAACACTACTCCGGATCAATCGTGTTGAGAATCACGCGACGACTTTGATCATTTTGCGATGATCGCAGTAATGGGTCGTTGGACAATACGATTGGCCGTAGCAGGGCTTCCAAGTATTCGGATATCTGACTATCTGGATATCCGAGATCGGTGCCAATCCAAAAACTCAAAACCGCACCATTCGGATCCAAGTTCGAATCATAGCAAAAGATTCGGATCCGGATTCAGAATTGATATGCAGAACCAAATTCAGATTCAAACAGATTTAATAAAAAAACAGATGAAAAGATTGATCAATTTAATAACAGAATTATCAGAAACTAGCTTAAACTATCTTGCGTTGTCACAAAGTGCCAAAAGAATGAAATCAGAGGGATGGAGTGTCCAGGTCTCGTGATAGTCTATATTTTCCGGAGGGTTCTAAAGAGCAACTATACATGATTTGGTCCAGATCGGTCAAAAGGTTTAGGAGTTAATAGAGAACGTACAGAGAGACATTCTACTCTATGTGATTATATAGATATAGATGGATTATATATTTTACGAGATTATACATAGATAATCACTATTTAAGTAAATAGGCACAATTGTTTCAGCTTAAGTTGTCGAATTGTAGCAAAAAATATTGACTTATTGATCGTCCAATTGTCGAGAAGGATCTAGGTTGCTGCAACCTTATCTGATCGATTCCCTTGCGAACTTAGATTCGGATCCGAATTCGATGCTTCGACCGTTCAGATATCTTGGAAGATCCGAATCCCCGGACGTTCTGAATCCGAAGCGTCGCATTTATTTACTACCCGAATAATCGGGTATCCGGATGGTGTCAGATCCGAAAAAAACATTGAAGCCTTAGTGGAGGTAGCTTAATGGAGCCAAGTCTCTCTTGGTATATCGATCCCGTCTGATCGACCGGCACCCCTTCTACACAGTATTTATACCTCACGTTGTGTGTATCGTGCAGTTGTCAATTTTTCACGAATTATCCAACACACTGCCCCCAATTCTTATAACTACACGTATTTACATGGAACATTGTGTATACGGGTTGTTCCGCCGCTACCGGACAGTCTCTCGGGCACAGAGTCTTGCATAAATGTGTCGTCGATTTCCTCTCACGGTGATTTAACGGGTGACCACCGTACGATGCACCTTTCCATCTTTACTCGATATTAGATATGTCGACTGGAAACTGTAATCAAAGTGAGATAGAACGCACTTAAAGTTAAGAGAACAATACGTCTCATGCACTTCTGTATTATTTGTTGAATTTACAAAGAGCCTTTCCTAGTCAACTCATGACTTGTAAACTGTCTAAGTCTCAGCATTGAATGAAACAATATTTTGCATTTTCCAGTTTCCAGTCCGCGTTTCCGCAGCGTTTGAGCGAATGAGAGCACTAGTCAGTTAGCGGCGAGGCCGCCCGTATTTAAATAAAAAAGCGACCTGATTCTCGATACAGACAACAATACAATAATTCGTATCTCATTACAGCGCGCACGATCGGTAGATCAAGACGACTCCGTAGTATCTGCGTATTCCCCGCAATAGTAAACGACCCGTCCGTCTCTCGACTTCAGGCGACACCCATTTAGAGCCCCCGGCGCTTTCTCTCGCCGCGCGCGCGCCAAGTCTCGCTACGATTGTTCCGCCTGACTGTTTGCAGGACTCCGCGACACCGTCGAGGCTGGCCAGGGTGTCCACCCCGGAGAACGAGAAGCACTCGTCGTCGGAGCACCATCGCGCTGACGGCGTTCTCCAGATCGCGCTGGAGAACAACGTCGATTGCTGCGACGGCGGCAGCAGCAACAAGACTTCCGTCTACGGAACGGACACGAACGCTCAGCAGCAGCAGCAGCAGCAATCGCAACGAGGAAACGGCAACGAGGAGGCCGTCAACGAGGAGCAAGGCGAGCGCGTCTTAACGACGTCGTCGTTGGACGGCAGCACGAAACGCGCAAGCACCGGTCGCAAACAGCATCATTGGAAGTCGCAGAGCGTCGGCGAGAACGTCGTGCCGCAACAGCAGCAGCTGCAGCTGACCCACGCGAACTCATTGTCGACAACGACGACGACGACGACAACGACAACGACGTTGGACGACGATTTGCAACAGCAGCAGCAAGAGACGACGACGACCAACTTCTCGGCGAACCGCGAACTCTGGCAGCGTCGCGCCACCTCGCAGACCCAGCTGAACCCGCTCGTGCCGGCGACACCAAAGTCCTTCCGCACGTCTCAGGAGTTCCGCGAGATGCGGCAGAAGCATACGCCCGACTTGGTGATGGACCTGCCGCTCTCCGCGCAGGACGCCAGCAAGAAGTCCGCCTCGTCCAGCAGCTTGAGTAGCTCGGACGATGAGACGCCCACGTCGTTGCCGGTGGCACCAGCACGCGCTGAAGCTGCCACCTCGCCCACCGGCGGCCCCGAGTCGCCGGACATGAGCACCGCCGCGGAGCGCTTCGCCAAGCAGAATCAGTGCACGCTGAAGAAGAACACGAAGACGAACTCGGACGGCGCAAGCAAACTGAAGCGGCTGGACATGGCGGATCATGAGATCAGCGCGACCGACGCGGAGAACGACGAGATCGTTCGATCGGCCAGCTCGAATCAAATAGCTGATGGAGGAGGCGGCGGCGGAGGGGGTGGCGGAGGAATCGGAGGTGTCGGCGGTGGCGGCGGGGTGCCGCTCAAGTCACCCCTACCGCCGCGATCCACCCCCAAGATAGTCGCCAAGTTCGCCGACATGCATCTGACCGGAGGCAGCCAGGTGGTGTCGTCGTTCAAGCCGCAGGTCAAGGTCAAGCCGACGATCCTGCGCAAACCGGTGCTGCCGTTCCCGCATCCGCACATGAGCCCCGAGCTGGCGCGCAAGATCGAGAAGCAAGCGCAGAGCGCGGAACAGGCCAACTAACTGATTGCCATAAATAATCGTCGCACAAGAGGAGGTTTTTTTTTTACTGTCGCAGTTGGTCGGAACGTTTGGCCCCGGCAATCGCCTGGATATTGTATCTCTCTCGTCTCTCGGGGCCGTCGTGAGACTTGGTTCGAGTGGAGTCGGTCCGCGACACGACTCAGATAATGTATCTCTCTCGAGCTACGGACGAGAGCGACGCGAGAAATCCAGTCTCACGAAATTGTACGAGCTTTCCGACGATTTCGTGAATTTCAAAGCGTTTAAGCATCACGAGAACAGGACCAACCGGTGTGTCGCTCTCGCGAGGCCGACGCCCTCGAGAACGTTCAGAGTAGTCCTCTCTCGATTTTGATTCCCCGATTTCGTGTATTCTCGCGTCATCATCCGCTTCCGAACGATGTACTTTGACAATAACTGTTCCTTTTCGCACGGCGAAATTCTGTGGAATTGCGAACGGAGGAGCAGAATGGAAACGAAAGCAAACACAAAAGCGAAACTAGGCCGTTTGCCGGAGGCCAACGCGAGACCGTGCTTCGAGTTCGAGACTACGCCATTTCGAGACGGTAGCGTGTAGATTAGCGATAAGCGCGACCACCCATCGACCAGTTACTCCGCCCAGTCGCGAGGACTTCTACTGTATTAATTACCGTGCCCGAGAAGAAAGGAAAGCCGCCACGGGATAGCGCGATCCGGTGCGCGTGTATGTGCGCGCCCGCGCGCGTACTAATCACGCTAAATCTCAGTGCTAAATTCGGCACGAGCGAATCTTTTAGTGGACAGTAGTACGTGTGAGACCACGGTGCTATCCGCGCGGAGGCGAGTTTATTTTTTCTACAGATGTTTTCCATTTTCGCATAATTTTTTTACCAAATGATCCGCGAAGCGATGTTTCTAGTCATCGAGCGAAGATAAGAATAAGAAAAAATAATGAAAAAAAGAGCGAGAGAGAGAGAGATGAGTGTGATGATGTGAGAAAGAGAAAGAGAGAAAGAAAATGAGAGAGTGAGAAAGAGTGGTAGAGCGAAAGTGAGAAAAAGAGAGAAAGAGAATTAGTATCGAAAAACATGAATTTTGTGGCGAGTAAAATATTTAGCCGATGCGAATTCGTAACGTTGGACGATGTAATTTATTTTTTAGCGCGTGCCTGCATGCCTGGATTTTCCTGCCTGTTGCTCTTGACGAGTATCGTAGCGAGTCGCGAGACGCGGCAAGCGCGTTTTGATGGTTCCTTTATGCGCGAGCGAGTGTTAGTATGAGTTCTTTTAAAGAGAGAAAAAGAAAGAAGAAGAAGAAAGAAAAAAGAAGAGAAAGAGCAAGCTGTTCCCCAGCCCTCCCGCCCGACCAACATACCACCCTTGAACGCGAGCTCGTTTCTCGCGTTAGGGAGGAAATGAGTGAGTGAGAGACGAGGGTCGGGGTTCTGCGAGTCCCGCGACTTTACCGTAAGTTTACTATAGGGTACGTTACTATGTATACCGCGTGCCGTCTTAATTATAGGTACTAACTAATCCAAAACAGCGATGTTCGATATATCCGAGATAGAGAGCGAAAGGGGGAAAAAGGAATAGCTAGGTGGACTACATGACGACGGCGCGAGTATTTATCGATTGACACGGCGCCGTGAGCCGTTACTCATTACAATTCGGGGATCGAATTTCAACCAGAAAGAGAGAGAGAGAGAGAGAGAGAGAGAGTAAAGAGGAAGAAGAATTAGGAGAAGAAAACGAGAAGGAAAGAAGAACAGAAAGCAGAGAAAGAATGAAGATGAAGAGAGAGAAGAAGAAACCACCCTCTATGTAACAGCTCGACGTATTCACGCATCGCTTCTCCCTGTAATCGATCGATTGAAAAGAAAAAAATAAGAAAAAAACGAGAAAATGAAGAAACTGGTATACATACCGACATAATAGCCTTAACATGCAGTATAATTGGGTCACTAGTATTTTCTAACCGCGTATATACACATTTGTGTTTCTGGACACGAATGTAAAGCTTTTACTCTCTGGTGACAGACATATTACTCTGACACGCCGTTCTCGTTTCTTTAAATAATCAATAGATAATGAATCAATATTGCGTACGTTTAGAAAATCCTAATTACCCAGTTGCATGACGTGTGCAGGCTGCCGTGCCGGTCTGCGTGCTGGTGATTTAACGATAGCGTATCGTATACACGTACATTAATTAACACACGAAATGTATACCGGCGCGAATGTTACGACGGCATTAGTGTATGCGTGCGTTCCTGCGAGCAATTATTCGCGAAGATTTTCACACTCGGCAGGAAATCAACCGCGGCGAATCAGCGCGGCGATGATTCGACGAGATGAAACGCGACAAACACCGCGATGCCCTCTCACTTTATGTGTGTATCGACTAAATGTTAGCACGCGTTCGGCGATGTTCCTCACGTCGTCCGTATTACCGCGCGGTCACCGGTGCTCTTATCTAGGCGCGATTACGGCGCAAAAGGGTTTTGCAGAAGGGAAAGTTTCAAGTTTCAATGACACCTCCGGGTGTTATATCGGAGTCGGTCTTCCTTCGTCAATCCGACTGCTGCTTTCTATAACGTTGGATTTAATGTCAGAGTAGATCTGTTTTGCAAATTGAATCTGGAACTGTGATTTTCCAAGGGAACAGAACTCGCTTGAATCTCGAGGCACGTTGATGCGATTTCTTATTCGGATGTATTTCAGAATTTACAGTTCTGCGCGCAGAAGCTCTTCTCCACTTCGAATGGTTTGTAATCGTGATCCTGTGATCGAGGAAAAATCGACTCCAAATCGACGTATAAGTATGTCGTTAAAATTAACGATCAGCGGTCGGCGGGATACACGAAAGTACGTATACGAAAAGAGAAAGAAAGAAAAGGAAGCATCAACGACCGGATATATATAGTTCTGGTTTGAAGATTCGAGTGCGATAATACTGGCTGATGTTGGGCTCGCCGGACATTGCAGGCGCTATACCCACCGCACTAAGAAA